ATATATATATATATATATATATATATATATATATATATATATATATACAAATGGCTAAATTGAAGTTAATCCAACTTGGTCAGCTTGGGAAATTGTTGGACCAAAGCCGATCGAAAATACTAGAAAGTGACCAACTCGGGTCAAGTTGGGTCAGGTTGGTTAGTTTCATTGGTTTGATGAACAATCATAGCTAAAATTAATTATTGTTATTTTTGTATTATAAACGAATATTAAAAGTAGTATATCAAATATAATTATTAATTATTTAAAGGGAAAATGATGTTGAAACTCACTCAACGAATTTTAATCCCACGTAAACCAATAAGTTAAATGGGGAGACCCTCCAAGCCTCCTTTTATTTCAAAATGCCTTTAAGCCCCCATCCCCCATTAGATGGATTCTCCACAACATCTATTTAATTTTTTTTGACAAAATTATCCCTAAATATTTAGATCATATCTCCAAGCTCATTGCCTAATTTCGAATGTTGTATGATAAGTCCCTCTGGTTTGCGAGTTTGCTACGCTGATAATGTTTATCTTAGAATTGAAAATGCTTCGGTTGATACCCTCTATTATATGCTATAGTCAACAACCTCCAAGTTTGTGATTTTGAGTGTGTCTTGCTAGAACAAGAGCTAATAGAGAAAGAAAAAGTCGTCTTTTGTTTCTTCCCAAAATTAGAGGCAACAGAGAGATATCTTCGTATTCATATTCATCGGACAACAACCTTCATCTTCATCTGACTCTCTCCATTGATGCTCACAAAGTTTTGAAAGCTGAGATGGATTTCATAACTCCTAGGTGAATCGTCTGAATATTTCTTTGTGTTCTTATTGCTTCATTGCGTGTGCTCCTCAAGGCACCCCACTTTTCCCTGTTTCCATCCAATTTCGACATTCTTTGCCTCTAACTCCGTCTTCTTTCTGCTCTATTTGAGTATTATAGGTACCTAGTTTCGATTTCTTTATCTGGTTTGTTTTGTCTCTATGGAATCAGTGGATATAGAGCTTCTTTTTGTTTGATATAAGTTGGCTTATGCTTTGAATTTAATATACCGATTGTGTTATGTTGGGTTCTTCGTGTTTATCAATCCTTACTAGTATGAGTTTGAATTGGGTTCCATTTCTTTTTGACATAAAATCTGTGGATATGTACTAGTGTCTTTGTTCTTCT